GAACCGCTGACCTTAAGGTTCGCAGCCCGATTCGTAACCACTACGCTACCAGAGCTCCTTATTACATGCATAAAAATACTGTAAATACTTGAAAACAGCATTTTACCAAAAGATCAGTTTTGGGTGTGGTTCCTTATGGCCCTGATTTCTCTCTGGTCTAAGATATGGAAATAAACTAGTCAATTCTGACTCATAGTGACCCTCTATGTGTCAGAGTAGAACTGTGCTGTATAGGGTTTTCAATGGCTGATTTTTTTGGAGGTAGATCACCAGGCCTTTCTTCTAAGGTGCCTCTGGATGGACTCAAACCACCAATCTTTCAGTTAGAAGTCAAGTGTGTTGGCTGGTATAAGAAAACAATTCCAAAGATGATAAATCACTAGTTAATAAACTGTGTTTCCAAAAGTGGTGCTGCTCAAGTGAAACCAGCAAAAAACAGGATGACTCATACTGTTGTTTAGAAGCTGAACTACAGAAACCCATTGGAGGAGTGAATTCCCGTCATTTCTCACACTCCAGTTATAAACTCATTAAATTCAGGGAATACAGAATTAAGTTATTTGAGGACTGCTACTTCCAAGAGTATTCAAGGAGGTAGAAAGTCGTAAAAAGGGCAAGGAAGATTGTTATCTCCAATTTAGATTTCTAAAAACAAGAAACATGAATCTGGAAGTCACATTCTTGCCTCTAGAGTTTTCTCCATCGTCCTTTACACTTACCTTGCACACCATGGATGTCTTTGCTCCAAGTCTAGCAGCTTGAACACACTGGTTGGCACCTTTTCCTCCAAAGCCAATAAAAAACTTATGACCGTGGATGGTTTCTCCAGTTTTTGGCAAACGAGAAGTGAGACTATTTTAATTGAAAAACAAAAACAAAAACAGGGAGAAAGAGAGAGAGACAGAAAGCACATTGGTAACTTGAATGGATTTAAATTCTTTACAAGAGAGAGGGAACGCTACCTAGAGTTTGACTCCCTTTTCCTCCCACCCCTGGTAGCCATCAAAGAATGGTTCTTTTCGTGGGAAAACCTTTTCTTGATTTTTTACAATAGCATACTCATACATTTGTCCATTTGTGATTGACTAATTTTTCTCAACATAATGGTCCCCAGATTCATTCATGTTATGAAGTATTTCACAGATTCATTCTTCTGTAACATTGCGTCATATCCCTTTGTGTATAGGTACCGAAGTTTGCTTTTTAATTCTCCCATTGATGACATTTGAGTTGATTTCATCTTTTTGGTATTTTGAATAGTGCTATTATGGGTCTATTTCTTTAAGGTATATACCAAGTAGAGAGAATGCTGGGTCATACGGTATTTTTATTTTCAACCTTTTGAGGCAGCACCATACCATATTCCACAGTGGTTGCACCATTTTGCAGTCTCATCAGCAGAGTGTGAGGCTTCCAGTCTCTCTATACTCTTGCCAACATGTTTTCTGTGTTTTTGAACTTTGATATTAATGCTGGGGTGAGATGACATTTCATTGTTTTAATCTCTGGTTGTATAGCGGTTACAAATTGGGCTGCAAACCACAAGGTCAGCAGTTCTAATTATCAGCTGTTCCGCAAGAGAAAGATGAGGCTTTCTGCTCCTGGAAAGATTTACAGCCTCAGAAACTCTGTACAGGGTTGCTATGTGTTGTAACTGACT